ATTTTAAGGGAAAACACACACAAAAACAGACTGTTGTGTAAAATTGACAAGAATGAGTGTGAGCCTGACAGTCAGAGACAGAGGTTGTTGTAAAATTAGCAATGAAAATAGCTTTCTTCTCTGGAGGTTAAAAATAATGTATTTACAAAGAAGTTATTTACTTTGGCCATTCAGAGTCTTCCCTGGGAAGCCTTAGTTAAGAAAACTGTGAAATCCACGGTCACTGTACTGCAGGAGGCATTTCCAGGACCCCGGCTTATATGGTGCTGCTCTGTGATTCCATGTGAGGAGTCTGAGCTGGTTGGCAGACTGGAAAATGGAGGTGTCTTGCTGCCTGAGACTTCTCAGATTGTGAAAGAGAGATACAAAATTCAAGGCTTGCATATTCTCAAGTTTGTTGTGTCCAGCAAATTCATCCTCTAGATTTCAGGCATGCTTTGTTTTGAGCTTCCCAATGAGAGAACCTTTTCTTACAATGTAGTGTAAAAGGAAATTGCAGGCTAGAAAAGGTGCAGGTTGTCCTATAGACTCTGTAGAAGGCGAGCTCACCATAGCTGGACCACTGCAGCCTTCAAGAACTCCCACTTGATGAGACTGAACAGGAAAATAGAGGAGCCCAGCAGGCAAAAAAGAAAAAAAAAAAAGTGGGAGAAAATCCTTGCTGTTTTGTGAACACAGACATATTTGTCTGAGCTTCTTAAGATTTTTCCCCAACCTCTGTACATCCTAATTTATCTTGCATTCATTTCTCCAAAAGCTACCTCCACCATTTATTTGACCTCAGTTATTGCCAGAATAATTTCAGATGTTTCTCTTCAAGTTCCTGCTCTTTCTAGGCTGCACATTAAAATTATATGGTAACTTATTTATTGAATAACCTCAATTCCAGTAGTGGCATCTTCGGAAAGTGATTAATAGAATATTATGAATTTAAGAGATATTCTTTTTATTTTATTTTTTTTGAGACAGAATCTCACTGTGTCGCCCAGGCTGGAGTGCAGTGGCATGATCTCTGCTTACTGCAACCTCTGCCTCCCAGGTTCCAGGGATTCTTTTGCCTCAGCCTCCTGAATAGCTGGGACTACAGGTGTGTGCCACCATGCCTGGCTAACTTTTTGTATTTTTAGTAGAGACAGGGTTTCTCCATGTTGGTCAGGCTGGTCTCAAACTCTTGACTTCATGGTCCATCCTCCTCAGTTTACTAAAGTGCTGGGATTACAGATGTGAGCCACCACGCTCAGCCAAGAGAAGGTCCTTAGGCGTCCAAGTTTTCTTGCAGTCCAGAGGTGTGTGTATATCAGTGATCGAATCTGCAAACAACAGAGGGATGGATGGCTGAGAAATTATCCAGGCATTTTAGGAGCTATAAACAGTTCTGTTTAAGAAATACTTTGTTTACTCAGTTGTTTGTTTTGAATTTGCGTTTTGGCAAGGATAGGAAAGTTGCCTTAAATGTAGATATTAGCTGTTGTATCTTTCAAGAATGTTCAGACATCTTTATCACTGTTTGGTAGGATTAGAGCCTGAATTGACTGTTTCTTTAGCCTTTGGCACACTTACCTGTTTGCACACTCACCTGTTTCAGCACGTTTGGAGGGGGAATATTCTTGCTCACTGAAGGTGTGGAGGGGGTTAGGAAATTAAGCTTTGCTTTTGGCACTTTGCAAGTAGAAGTGCTAAATTCTTTAGGCATTTGAACCTCCTTTTGGACTGCAACAAAGAACCAGAATAGGAATAAAGAGATTAGAGTACAGCAATAATGAGTACTCACCTCTTAATGATTTAGCTCAAGATAAAGAGTGAATACTGTCCTTATCTAAGAGAATCTCTTGCTGATTTCTGATTCAAGAGGCTGGCAGGAAGGATGGGGGAATGGAAAGGGGGTGAGCAGCTGCTCAGAGCTCTCTAGAAGTTGCCATTCAGAGGTTCTGTCTGCAGATTGTGCAGTGGAGCCTTGCAGAGAAGCACCGAGTCACTGAGAGATTTGGGGTTCTTGGTTTCTGTATTAGCGCTACATGGTTGTGTGTCTTTGATTCAGCCAGTAACCTTGAATTAAACATATTTAATAGTCTGAGTAAAGTGACAAGATTGGATGTGTGGTTGTAACTTTTTGCGGATCTCAAAACCTAGATTTTATGTATGTTGTTAGGTGACCCTACTGCTTTAGTTTGTGACATTCTTGACACCTGGAGCTACTCTGGTATGACACACATATGACCTAAAAGTATTTAAATTTGAATAATATGTTTTCCGTTTACTTCACTTAGTGAGTGTACTTCATTTAATAATAAAGATTAAAGAAAAGATTCTTTAAGTAGATACTCAACAAATTCTTACTGTAGGGATTTTTAAACTTTTGACTTACTATTTGTAGGATACTTCTTATGTGATTCTATTGAAGGAAGAGATGTTTACGCTGCAATCAAGAAAGGTGGTTTGCCATAGAAACAAAAAATTAGCCCTATTGTTGAAATTGGTGTTGACTGCTTGGTGTTTGGTAAAAAGCACCTCTCCAAGAAGCCATTGGGGAAATGATGAGTTTAGGGTCTCTGCCTATTTTAGGAAAGATGAAAAATGTTGAAATCAAGTGGGAAGAAGGAAATGTGGCAGATCACAAAGAACTGGACTGTTTTTCACAGAGAAAATTCAATTTTATCTGCTTTTTTCCCAGCAAATTCCATTTGATATTTTACATTTTCTTGATAACTTAATAAAGAATCTCAGGAAGGAGTTGCAGAATTTTAGCTTTGTGAAAGAAAATTTGTCATTTGTGACATTTCTTCTCTAAATAGCATGGGAAGATCAATGTATTCGTGTGTAGTTCATGCATTACTAATTCTAGTTATTCCTATGTCAAAAAGAAACAGCATGTTATATGACCAAACTTGGCACAAGGAGGGATTTTGGCTCAGTTCCTACAGATACATGGAGCTCTGCTAGGGACCAGACATTGTGCTAGGCACAGGTGTGGAATATGTAGATAATAAAATATAATTCCTGCCCTCTAGGAGCACCACTTTAGAAGGGAAGCCAACAGCAGACAGATAATTTAGAGTAATATAAAGTCAACATAAACAAAATATGAGAACGTTGGCTCTGCAATCAAAATGTGCATCTAATTGGGTCACTTCTCAACCCTTGCAGTCCTGAGCTGAGCCTTCATAATCCCCACCTGGATTCTGGCCTCCTAGCGGGCCTCCTTGTGCTCCTCCTTGTACCTGGAGTCGTGTTTCCCACACAGCAGCCAGAACAAAGGTTTGACAACATAAGTCATGACATAACACTCCCTTGCTACAAACCCGCCAGTGGTCCCCAATTTTGCCAAATGCGGAAGACTCTTCTGCAGTTCACAATGTCCTGTGGATCTGCGTGACCTCATTCCTGCACCACAGTGCATGCACACACACACACACACACACACTGCCATACACATGCTCACACACACTCATGGTATTCCCTGACCTCGTATGTCACTGCTCTGACCTCACTCACTGCACTCCACGCACAATAGCTTCAGTGCTGTTCCATGGATGTGCCAGGCATGCTCCCACAGCAGGGCCTTCACAGTGACTCTCCCTTGGCATGGTCAGTTTCTCACTTCCTTCAAATCTTTGCTCAAATGTCACCACATCTGTGAAGCTCCACCTTGACCATCGTTTAAAATTGCAGCTGTCTTTCCACCCATTACTCCCCATTCTCCATGTCCTGCCCTATGCGATTTTCCATAGGACTTATCACCCTCTGGGATACCATGTGATTTACCATTTATTAATTTTGTTTGACACATGTCTTTCCTCACTAGAATGTAAGATCCAAGAAGGCAGCATCTTAGTTTTGTTCAATGTTACTCAATCTAGAACACCTAGGCGATCTAGAACCATGCTTGGCATGTAGTATACAGTTGTATTTATCTGTTAAATGAGGGAATAAGAAGGAGAAATTCATTCTGACTGAGAGTTCCAGGGAGAATCAAAAGGAAGAAACCTTTGAGCCAGATATTGAAGGGTAAGTAGAATTGGACAGTCTGCTTTTCTGGGGAAAGACATTTCAGATAGAAGGAATATTGTGAGCAAACGCAGAAAAGTGGCAGGGCTTATGAATGCAAGGAGCCTGCCTAACTGGCACATGGGAGTGGTAGTGGTGGATCGATAAATAGAAAGTAACGAAAAGGGACTCTTAGTGGAGGGAGGGAACAAATTCCTAATCGCTGGCTGTGATAAGATGGCAAGCATGTTGGTGACTGAAGTTGAGGTCCCTCAAATAGGTAGCATGCATAACATGGGAGTATTGTCACACAGTCAGAAGTCAGAAATGTGAGTAGTGTTTGCTAATGCAATCCGATTTTATACAGTACTTGACTGTTTTCAAAACATGATCAGATGGTTATTATGATTTAAGCTCCATAACAACTGGTGAAGTGAGTTAAACAGATATTATTTACATTTTTGATAAGCTTTTTTTTAAAAAAAAAATTGCAACTTATATTGGAGGAAGTGGATTCTCAGACCAGCTAAATGACTTGCCTAGAGTCACCCAGGTAGAAAGTTCGGAAGCGCTTCCCACTGTCTGTGTCTCACGGTCTGTGTCCCACTATGCCAGCCTGCCTCCCTCATTCTGTCACAGTGCTAAACATACAGTGCTGGTTTTTCGCAAGGATATGGGCTTTCCATTTCCCCCCATTCACTGAAAATAGCAGTTTCTTCTTCCAGTTACCTCTTTACCAGATCCATTTTTTCTTTTTCCTTCTTTTCCATTTCAACTTACCTGGACTACCTGGGTGTGTTTTTACCTTTGCCTGTTTAGCATTTTTTTACTTTTTTCAAGGCTTCTGCCAAGTCTGTCTGATTCAGCATCTGACATTCTGTTAAGGCTGTTGCCACCTTTCATTTGGTTCTTGGGTGGAAGGGAAGAGAAAGCATGTCATCAACTCCATTTGAATGTCTTGAGACTGACTTATTGCTCACTTTGGGAGTAAACCTGATCTTCTTAATTCTCCCCAGATGTTAGTAGGCAGGAAGAGGCGGAGGGAGAGCTCAGTGAAGGAGAACACTGGTATGGAAACTCTTCAGAGACTCCGTCAGAAGCATCCTATGGGGAAGTCCAGGAGAACTATAAGCTGTCGCTGGAGGACCGGATCCAGGAGCAGTCCACGTCCCCCGACACCTCCTTGGGAAGCGCGACTCCCAGCAGCCACACGTTGGAGCTGGTGGCACTGGACGGTGAGGTCCTGAGAGACTCACTGCAGTGTCAAGATCACCTCTCCCCGGGAGTGTCTTCTTTGTGTGAAGATGACCCAGGCTCCAACAAGCCCCTGAGCAGCAACTTGAGGCGGCTGCTGGAGGCTGGTTCCCTCAAACTCGATGCCGCAGCCACGGCCAATGGCAGAGTGGAGTCCCCCGTAAACGTAGGCTCGAACCTCTCCTTTTCCCCGCCTTCCCACCACGCCCAGCAGCTCAGTGTTCTGGCCAGGAAGTTGGCCGAGAAGCAGGAACAGAATGACCAATACACTCCAAGTAACCGTTTTATATGGAATCAAGGTAAGTGGTTGCCAAACTCAACCACCGCCTGCGGCTTGTCTCCGGATTCGGCCATCCTAAAACTGAAAGCTGCAGCCAATGCCGTTCTGCAGGACAAATCTCTCACCAGGACTGAGGAGACCATGCGGTTTGAGTCCTTTTCCTCCCCTTTTAGCTCCCAGTCTGCCAGTTCTACCTTGGCCGCTTTGTCCAAGAAGGTCAGTGAGAGAAGTTTGACTCCCGGTCAGGAGCACCCTCCTCCCGCCAGCTCCTTCCTTTCCCTGGCTTCTATGACCTCCTCAGCGGCCCTTCTGAAGGAGGTGGCCGCAAGGGCTGCTGGCAGTCTTCTGGCTGAGAAATCATCGCTGCTGCCTGAGGACCCTCTACCGCCCCCGCCTTCAGAGAAGAAACCAGAAAAAGTCACTCCGCCTCCTCCACCGCCACCTCCACCACCTCCACCACCACCACCACAATCTCTGGAATTATTATTACTCCCAGTTCCTAAGGGAAGAGTTTCTAAACCCTCCAATTCAGGTATGGCATCTTTTCTTTCAATCATCCTGTAAGTCCTTTTGACTATCAGCCGCCATGCTTATTCATTGCCTTTTTCAGTTGGGTTTCCCATCTGATCTGAGGCAAGAATAAAAAGCAAGAGCACAACAAAAATACTTTAAGTAAGCAGCATAGTAGCCTTTCATCTACGAATTACACAAAGACTTCACAAATAGCTTCACTGTTGAAAGGTAATGAATAATCTTAGAGACATACAGCATTTCCTCCCTTTCATACAAATGATTTTTTTTTTTCTTACTAAGTTCAGGCTAGGTCTATACAAGATATATTTAATGGGGGAAGATCAAAGCATCTTTGTCATGGAGTGCATGGCATCACTGAACATGGGGGGGAGAAAGCCCACTGCTTTTGAAATAGTGGACAACGGAGAGCCCACACTCCTGCTGCCTCCATCACAAATGGACTTTTGTACAATCAGGAACTACTCTGCCCTAATTTATCACAGCATATACTTTTATGTTAGCATTTTTATTACTTTTTTTGTGGAATTTAAGCCCTTTTCACGTATCCTATTCTTCTACAATTTCTTGTCCTGTAAGAACTCTAAAAAAGATTGTCAATCAAACGTAATCAACACATTTCCTGTGAATGCTTTATTTAAGTCAAATCCAATCCAATTCTGAAGGAATATGCATGTGGAAAATTTGAATCCTAAGGTTTTTCTAGTGGAGGCAGTCTTTCCGAAGGAGAAATCGCTGTCATATAGGACATTAGTATTCACAATTATTCATCTGAGGGAGAAATTTAGTCACTTGAATTCTCACAGAGAAAACATCATTTCTTGTTCTGGTTTGCTTTTAAATCGTGTGCATGATAAATACATGTTCCTGGGGATGCATGTTGGGATTTCAGATGTCTCTTAAGGATATCCTGCCAGACTGGAGCAGGAAGTAGGTTATGTGTGTCCTCATCGGTACAAACACTGCCATTGTGTGTGTCTAGCCAACTTTTGATTATTTGCAGTGACAATGATGAAGAGGGTTTGGAATGGCAAATAAGTGACTGAACGATCACAGTTAACGTCAATTTGATGCATTTATGACAAATTTCCATTTAAATTGCTGAGTGAGCTATATGCGCTAATTATAATTACTTCAAAACTTGAGTCAACAGCAGAAGACAACGAGGAAAATGTGTATCTGGGACTTTTATGGCTCTAAGTGATCCAAACTGTTCACTCCAGAGTTCCTGAAATGTCAATAAAATCCTAGAAGGTTTATCCATTTCATTTCTCCTCTCTTCTCACCTGCCATCTGGTGAAATAAGAAGAGAAATGGGTCAAATTAGGAAACAAGGAGAAAAGCAGAGGAGGCTGGGGTAATTTTACATGGAAAAAAAATCACCCCTGACTTATAGAAATTTCATTTAGGGATAGTGGTAGAAAGAAAGGTATGGCTATATACAAAATATAATTTTAGGTTGGGCACAGTGGCTCACGCCTGTAATCCCAGCACTTTGAGAGACCAAGGCAGGTGGGTCACCTGAGATCAGGGAGTCAAGACTAGCTTGACCAGTACGGTGAAACCATGTCTCTACTAAAAATACAAAAATTAGCCAGGCATGGTGGTGTATGCCTGTAATCCCAGCTACTCGGGAGGCTGAGGCAGGAGAATTGCCTGAACCCAGGAGGCGGAGGTTGCAGTGAGCTGAGATCGTGCCACTGCACTCCAGCCTGGGTGAGACTCTGTCTCAAAAAAATAAAAAATGAAAAAACAAAAATAATAATTATATATATATATTCTGCACATCTAGTTATTGAATAAATGTGTGAATGGTGCTTCTAGTATAAATTCATCTGGACATTAGTTACTTGGAATAGCTTATACAAAATTAATATTAAACTTTAGTTGACTGAAGACTTGGAAAGAAGTGACTGATAAAACCATGTCTCCTGAAGGCCAAACTGTAGCGGCTTTGTCATATTAAAGTAGTCTTGGGTATAACCAACAATGATTGTGATTATAATTTTTTTCCCTGAAATGACTAGATGCATATAAAGATGAGAAAGAGGTCATGAGCTTCCAGTGAATGGTAGACTTTTGGTTTGTTTTGTTGTAGGAAATACACCCGAGGGAAAAGCTGTGTTCCTTTTTTGGTTTAAATGCATTTAATCTATGCCAGCAACTCAGTGGGCTTCTCACAAGAATTTAATATAGGAGATCTATAAGAAATAGCTTCTTACTTTGCTTTTTACTAAATTTATTCTATTGCTGAAACACTTAATATTTTAATCAATGGATGTTCAGAATATTCAGACTGAAAGAGGAGGAAAAGGAACGCCTCAGCTTTGGGTTGTAGAACCCCCTGCTGATTGACTTGTACCTAAGGCCTCCCCACCCCCACTCCCCCATTTCAACGTACCTCTGTTCACAGTCCAAGGCTTGGAGAAGCAGCTTCATCAGCAGAGTATTTTATTTAAAAAATCTTTCATTTTGTAAAACTCATGCATGAGGAAAGATCACTGCCAAGAAAATGAGGACCCTTGAAATTGTTACTCAAAAAATATTCTATACGTCCATGTAGACACATCCTACATTCAAGTTCTGTTTGTTATTGCATGGATTGGAAAACAGAAAAGGGGATGCCCACTGATATTCTTTTCAGTTAAAGTGAATATCATTACTTCTCAGCAGCCTAGCTAGATTATGGGTTCATAAGGAGCTCATAGAGTATCTGATTTTGTTATTTGTCTTTGTATCATGGGTACACGATTTGGTGTTACTGGGGATCATTGATACTGGCATCTGAGGAGTGGAAGGAAAGGTGGGTCATTCCATCTGTCTCCTCCACCCTCCCTGACTCCTTTTCCTTTCTTCCCCCTCCATCCCCCACCTTCCACACATTATACTGTTGGTTTGGGGGCCACCTGGGGCTGGACTGGGATATACCTTTAATTTACGTAAGAAGCGTTATGGAAATGTGAGAGCCATCACCCCTGTCTCGGAACATTTGTCTTGATTGTTTTTTCCTCTCCCTTAGAAGGAAATCTTAGTGTGATTCAAAATACGTAGGTGGACTGGCCTCTCACAGCAGGGAAAAGAGTTTCTGTTGCCTAATAACTTAAGTAAACAAATAATAACCACCTCAACAACAACAATAAAAAGCCACAAAAATAAACTACACCCCATCCTGATGCAGGGATTGCATTTTTAAAAAGCGATTTCTCAAAATGTTGCCAAAAAAAGGGCATATATGAAGTTGATTCTTGAGTTACAAAGAGATATATGCTGGAAAAGCTGATCCTGCCTTGAGTAATTTAGACACCAGCATTTCTTTGACCTTCTTTAGGTCAAGGGAAGTCCAAACCATGAAAAAAAATTGTCTTTTAGGTTTGGCCTTATTCTTCTTTTTTGAACAGGATTCAGTGGTTGCCAGGTCATGGTGTATTTAATTCCTTAAAGAGTCCACCACTCGATAGCCTTTTCGCCCTGCAAGAGAGATGTGACACTTGAGGGGGAGGTTTCTTTCATGTGACCCTGTGCCCTCAGCACATGCTACACGGCTCCTCTGAAAGGGGACACGATAGAGGGAAGATTATGTCTGTTTGCTATAAAGATAAATGTCACACATTGACTGAATTCTCTTTGAAGCTACTGTTCTGTTGCAGCTAAGAATAAAACAAATAGTTTTTATTTTAAAGACAAAGTTTCTTGTAGAAGGCCAACAAGATTCCCAGGATGCCAGACTCCGAGTTAAAAGAAATAACAGGGAGAGTTTCAGAGAGAGGGTCTCCAAAACATCTTATTGTACTGAATAAAATGTAAATATTCTTAGAAGCAACCTGGTCTCGTACAGCTGAGAACTAAGAATATTTCCTGTGGATCAATACATAGGGGGTTTCTGGCTGCTGTTTTCTTTCACATTTATGTGATATTATTAAAATTATTGCAAAGCATACAAAGTCCAGGGAGGAGATCACCTCTCCTGATAGTCCCATTAGGCCCATGGTTATTATAAGAAGTCTTGTTGGTTTGTTTGTGACAGAGTCTCGCTCTGTAGCCCAGGCTAGAGTGCAGTGGCACGATCTCGGCTCACTGCAGCCTCTGCCTCTCAGGTTCAAGCAATTCTTGTGCCTCAGCCTCCTGAGAAGCTGGGACTAGGCAGGCACCACCAGGCCCATCTAATTTTTGTATATTTGGTAGAGATGGGGTTTCACCACGTTGGTCAAGCTGGTCTTGAATTTCTGGCCTCAGGTGATCTGCCTGCCTCCGTCCCCCAAAGTGCTGGGATAACAGGCATGAACCACTGGGCCCAGCCAGAAGTCTTAATAAGCCTTAATCTGAGAATGATCTCATACATAAACTTGTTTAGAAAATTTGCTTTTTAACCAAGATTTTTGGAACTGTCTGTCATTAATCTCAATTATATTTTCCCAGTGATTTAAACATAATATGGCTATAGGTATCAGACTTCTCTGAATACTTACTAGTTAAATTAGGCATTAATAAAGTCAGCATCCATAATAATAGATAAACTCAGGGGCATCCATTGCTAACCTAGGTTGTTTTTGTTGCCATGAAATAGCATTTGAGACACATGACAAAGAAATTCTGTGAAAAGATTTAAAATCCATGTGTATTGTTACGAAGGAATATGGGTCGACATCCTACACAGATGTGCACCGGCAGTGTTGGTAGGTCCAGAATGGAGACTGTGATGAAGCACAGATGATGCAGGCCCGGGGTCACCAGGCATCCTGAACTCCTGTGTGTAGAGTAGGTAAGGTCTGTATGCAGAAACTACCCAGTTACAAGTTACCTTGACCTGCTGCAAATCACCACATAGTACTGAACAACAGGACGCTTGATTTCAAAGGCTACAAAACAGTTAATTTGTTTTTTAAATACCTTTGCGTTAAAGCAGTTAAGCTACTACAACCCTCTGTGACTTAAAAAAAAAAATCTAACCCAATGAAGTTTTGTTGTTGTTTGTGGATTTATGCATAGACAATAGGGTAGAGCACCAAACAAGAAATGAAGAGATTAGCTGAAATCCCAGTCCTGCCACTAACTAGTAGAGAGATTTGCAGCATACCACCTCAGTTGAGCGTCCTCATCTGTAAACAGAGCTGGTTTGGAATGATCTCCAAGATCCTTTCCTGTTTTAGAATTCCTTGCTTATACTTACGGCTCAGTGTTTTAAAAATCTATTAACTCAAAACAAATTTTTTTTTTCCAATTTTTGAGTTTAATATGTGTCTTCTTAAAATTCACTATCAAACCTCCCACAAGATCATCTCTGTTTTGGGCAGCTCTTGTTTGTTATAAATAGTTCAACATATATCACTGTACTTTATTAATGATGTAGCCATACCATATGCGTTTTTAATGTAAGCTGCTCCAGGTTCATTTTTGGAAATAGCTGAGGTCTAAGTACATGAACATTTATCTGTTTATCCATCCATTCATTTAAGATGTGTATTGGCACACTATGTGGAAAGCATACATACACTCTTGGGCTAACACAAGTTCCATTGGGACTTACTGGCAGCCTCCTGCGTCTTTCTAGCCCTGATTACACTTTTCTCTATTCCCTTAACCCAGCCTTTGTCACTTTATCCCCTTACTGTCTAACGCACACTGACTGAATTAAATGTTGTACCTGGCATTGTTTGGGGGCTGGAGACACAAAGGTAAGGACTTCCAGGCCCTATTGCAGCCAATTCCTCCCTCCACTCTCTTCTTCTGTCTTTTCCATGTCTCTTTTTTTCTCTGCTGAGCTGGAATTGCCCATCAGTATTTTGTCTGGGCTGAGACAGACCACACCTGAGCCACACTATGTACTCCTGCTTCTTTGTTTCACATTGGCTCCAGTGACAAACTACCATGTTGGGCCAAGCCCTGAGCCGTGTATTTATTATGTGATGTTAGTTGTTTAAATTTACATCTGCTCTGATGGTGAGTTTTCAGCTTTGCAGAGCATGTCTAGAGTTTGTTTATTGTCACTACTCCTACCACAACAACAACTACTACAAGTAGCTCCTATTTTCTATGTGACAGGTGTCTTATGTACATTCAGTATTTCGTTTATCCCGATAATATTATTGCCTATAAAGAGAATATGTTTTCTCCAAAGGAGCAGGTTAGCAGCTATTCATCCCACAGGTTCTCTCAGCATTTGATGGAGTTTAGTTTTGTTTGCAGTGATATTAACTAGCCAGTGATACGCTTGGGGAAAGTTATTTATTAGGCAATTGTAAACTAGGTAAAATTAGGAACATTTCAATCCCATTGCCTCAAGAGTGTATGGTTCATTCTGAGGAAGTGGTCATATTTCCTTAGGTTCTAAATTTGAGTGAAATTTACAGCTGTCAGTTCCCTGAAAATAGTTTGGCATACGAAATAGAATACAACCTTACTTCCTCCCTTCTTTAAAGTAGTTAACAACATCATAGAAACTTGGAGAGTGTCCTGCTAAAATATGAAATTTCTTTCTTGCATAAATAAAAATGCAGATGTTACCAGGGGAGATTACTGGCCAAAGGTGAAAATCAATCATGGTGCTCAGGTTACTTTTATCATTTGGTTTCTGTCATCTCCGTATCCTGCTGTGATCAGTTAAAAATTTCAAAAGTTATAGTAGTGTACCTATTTGACCACATTTCTTGCACTCAGTTTCTCTTCATTGTGTGTTCTAATTTTTTTCCATCAGTCCAAGTGCACCCTAATTTGTGCCCAACTCGTGTATTTTGGTGTTAATTAAAACTAAGGAAGCATAGCTAAATGGATTTATATGAAATAATAATACGCGGGGTTAAATGTAATGTACTCTGTGATACATTTGGAATAAAGAATCGTTGGTTAGGGTGAAGGTTGGGGGGGGTCTCAGAAAGAACAGGACACACATTGGTCACATTAGGCAAGGCAAGAAACTAGGAGAAGCTGGCAGTGTTCATTTTTTCAGCAAATGTCCTTTTTATTGCCTTCCTGTGGTATGCCATGAAATCTCAGGTCAGTAGAAAACATCTCAGTTTTTCTCTCCTCTTCCAGACAGCTCGGTAAAATTAGGCAGTTTAGGGATTTGATAGTGGGACATACTTCTTGAAGATGGGGATCAATGACAGCCTGTTTGTTTATCTCTTTCCTATTATTTTGATGTTCTTACAACCCCACATAGACGTTGTTATGATTTTTTCCCTGTAGTGTATGACAATAATTTCACCTAGAGGCCTGATTCAGTCCTTTCTCTCCAGTCTGTTGTTCATCATGTAGTCTTCGTGATCAGAATATCAGGGTGGAGGAAATGACAAGGAAGGGTAGAAGACGAGAGACATAATTGCAGATAGGGTCCAGATCAGCAGAGGCAATCTACAAAAACAGACAGCAGAAAAACTACAGAGGGTTAATAAAAATGCTTGTTTATATGTGTCTACAAGGTGTGCTCTTCCTAGAGTAAAAGGAAACCCTCACTTCCTCTTACCCCCCCCAATTAAAAAAGGAAATACATGTGGTAGAACACATCACAAGTAGAATTTCCAGACATGATTCTTTTTCAAGTTGAGTGGTTGAGCTAACCAATATTGCTTAGACCTGTATTAGTAAAACTGCATTTTTGGAAAGCCCTGACTTTATTCCAGAACCCTTCTGGTACCATCCATTTCAAGTGCTCCTTTGTATGTAGAGACTCAGTTGATTCGATAAATACATAATGAGATTATTTTAAAGTATTCTCTTGGGAATATTTTCTTTTAAAATTAGAGGAGTAACATGTATATTTAAAAATTCAAATAGTACAGAAGGATGTGAAATGAAAACACAAGTTTCCCTCCCTGATTCCTTCCTTTTAATTCACAGTCTTTCAGTGGTAACTGCTTAGTGGTTTCCTGAGTATGCTTCCAGAAAGTTTACATGCAAATAAAAAGATACCATTTTTTGTTTGTTTCATTTATTCATGACATTCTTCCCATTCCCTCTCTTTATTTTTTCTCAAGTATTTTAAAGCAAATCCCAGACACCATATCCGCTTGCTTGTAAATACTTCCATTTATATATCTTCAACAGATAAGGACTTTAAAAAAATGACCAAATTCCACTATCACGTCTAACAGGAGCAACAATTGTTAAATGATATTATGGAATACCCAAGCTGTAATCAGTATTTCCTCAATTATCTGAGAAATGTTCTTTTACAGTTGTTTTATTTAAACAGAATCTAAACAAGCTTCACACCTTGCGGTTTTTTGTATATATCTCTTAAGTCTTATTTTTCCATAACCGCTTCTCTTTTAAAAATGTCATTTACATGTTGAAGAAACTGGGTCGTCTGTCCTGAGGAATTCATTCATTATGGATTTGGCTGATTTCATCCTGTTGGCGTGTTTAACACTTGAAAAAAAAATCAATTGTATTTCCAATAAAGGGCTAGTTATATAGAGGATTGTTTAATTTTTTACAAGGACATTTCACAGATGGCATATCAGAAGTATCTGTTATGACACACAGTATCTGTCCCATTTTTAGTAATGTTAAGATTAATTAGTGGTTTTACGTGTTGTCAACTTGATCCATTCTTTATAAAGCTCCCTGCTAATATTTCACTCAATGGTTTTAGCTGAGATTGATCCTCATTTTTTCGAAAACAAAAATAGAATCATCCTGGATATATGGCTTTGTATATTGCTTTATCCACCAATGCTAATATCCTGGACATGTTTTTATATCATCGTCTCTAGATCTAGCTCATTTTTAAAAGTGCTTTCTATATTTTATTGTGTGAGCATATGCCAAGTTACTTAGCCAGTTTGGAAATATTTCTGATTCCTTATGATTAAGTAAGAAATGTCCAAGTTCTTGACTCTGCTTCTTTATACTCCCTGTATCCTCAAATTGCTGAGGCTAGTGTGGCACTGAGCAACGTAAGTTGGTAGACCAGAAGTTTTAGCAGTAGTGTCACAACAGAGACGCTTCACTTTGAGAGCAATCTTAGCTTTATTTGGAGGAGGTAGTTGGTTTGCTTAATTTGTTGAAAAATCGGAGCATTTGTGGTGGCTTCACTTTGAGAGCAATCTTAGCTTTATTTGGAGGAGGTAGTTGGTTTGCTTAATTTGTTGAAAAATTGGAGCATTTGTGGTGGCCTCATTGCAGCTCTTCCCAAAGTGGGCAGCGAGGCCCAGTCACTGTGCAGACGAAGGCAGCACATATTGTTAGTGACTACCAGAGGGGCAGAAATAAAAAGGTCAAAAACCCTGACCTTAAGACCCCCTGATGGCTAAATTGGCAGCAGCATCTGCTCAAACCACAGCTAAACAAGTCAGCAATAGGGATCCGAAAGTTTGTCTCCATTGGAGTTCAGAGACTGAGGTTTATGATAGCTGTTTGGTTTTCAGCGTGGAGCAGTGCATTATTCTCTGTCCCATGTGATTTGTTTTTATTTCTCACTGTTTTCCAAGTTCAGGAATTCAGACACGGACTCGAGTCTGACAGTTTCCTTCAGGAACAAAGCCCCTGCATTCAGGCTTCTGTGACTGTGCACAGTGCCCTTGGGCCCTGAGTTAGGACAGGCCGGGCGAAGCCCCTTTGCAGATGTCTTCCTTAGTGTTTGATGGCCTTTGGAAGTAAGAATTTCACAAGGCGGGATGATCAGATTTCAGAAAATGGAGCCCAGATGGAAGTAGCTAGATGAATATGGGTTCCTACCTGAAGAAAAGCAGTACTAAAACTTTCTTATGGATAAAATCTTGGAATTGTAAAGAAAAAACCCCAAATCATTTTTAGTGCTTTTTATATGGCAATGTATGTGAATTGGTGCCAGATGCAATGTGCCTTGTTGTTTTCCTTAATGTTCCTTTCTTTCTCCTTCTTCCAAGCCTCAGAAGAGGAAAGTGGAAAGCCTTTCCAGTGTCCAATATGTGGTTTGGTTATAAAAAGGAAGAGTTATTGGAAGCGGCACATGGTGATTCACACAGGTTTAAAAAGTCATCAGTGTCCGCTCTGTCCATTCCGGTGTGCTCGCAAGGACAATCTCAAATCCCACATGAAGGTAAGCCACCTACGGACCTCTTGGAGAGGCAGGCACTGCCGGGGCTCCTGTACATGGTCTGGTGCAGGAGGCTTCTTGGCCGAGGGAGGGCACCGCTGGTGGAGCATGTAGATGACAGTACTCCTTGTAGCAAGGTAGAATTCGACATAAATGTGCTAATGTCCACTTTGCAGCCAAGAGCTTAAAGGCGGAGAGAACCTTCAATATCCAAATAATGTATTTACTGGAGGGTGGTCCTCTCCTATAGGGGAGCAACAGCCTGCCTGGCCTGTGTGCTGACGCATTTCTTGGGGCACTCAGAGGCAGCGTTGGGGAATGGCAAGAAGCAAGGAAAGTCAAGTTCAGGAAGAGCTGCTGGACTGAGCACCAAAGAGAGGGCTCCTGGACCTGCTCCCCTTCCTGGAGAGATTGCTGTCTGCTGTTACGACTTTACCCTGAGCTTGCAAACCCAGAGAAATATACAGAGACACCGTGTAGGAAGCATGAAGACATTGGAAGGCAGCTGGCCTTTAACTTTACTTAGTCCTTTGGGAGGCTTGGGGTCCCTTTCTAACAAGACTAAAGTCCTTGAGGCTGTCAGTGTTTGAGTTGTCATAATTCCCAGGATTACATTTACCAAACATCCAGGGACATCATTTTCAATGTCCTATTAAAAACAACAGGGAGCTCAAACCTAAGCTAAGCATGTACAGAATTGACTAGAATCCATGGGTCCCACAAATTCCTGAACTTGTGAGCTGAGGAAAACTTAGTTAGATGGAAATCTTTTTAGCTGACCCTATTAATGCGAAGGGTTTTGTCTCAAAATCAAGGAGGAAACTCATGGGATCCAAAGAGCATGGGCTTTTGAATTTGATAGACCTGAATTGAAATCTTTTTATGCAACTTATTAGCTAAGTGGCCTTGAGCAAGTTAACCTTTAGACTCTGAACTTTCTCATCTGTTAAATGGGAATGATAATGCTTGTCTGGAAGAGATGACATTAGTACTTAAGGAGAGAATATTAGCAAAATGTTTGACACAGGAATTTTCAATGGAAGTTATTTAATTCTAGTAACTATCATTGAGCATCTTAATAGCAATCATATCTTCACTGATATTTCAATATGATTTGGCTGTGGATGTTATTTATAAAGTGTTTACTTTCCTACCATAAGAAGTATAATGTATAGACATAATTAAGGTATTTGCTTATTTGGAAATCTTACCGTCTAATCCTTCTGAATAGATCAGTAATCACTCTTCAGAATTGCAGCTCTAAAAAAGTGTGACCAGATAGAACCTCTACTGACTTTAGGAAATAGCTTGGAAGATTAAAAAAATTTAAATCCGTGATGTAATTTGTTTTCTATCATTTGCCTTTGTCTCCTGGGAGTAGCATGCCCTTCATCTTCAGAATCCATTTAACCAGGAGTTCTGGTTGGCTGAATTTTACTCAGCCGACTTAATTTTTACTTTAACCCTCCTCATCCTCTGTCACGTCTTCCCAAAGTAAAAACTTACATTTTAAACCTGCAGAGTTGAATTTCATTAGCAGGATGAGACTTCAAAAGAAATGCCTTTAAAATGAAAATTTGTTTTAGTTACTATTTCCTAAGCTGTGTTTAGAAATCAGCTCTGGCAAATTTAAAGCTTCAGTGAACAGAAAACTTGCATCTAGCCTGACACCTTGGAAGCTTGGTTTCATCTCAGGGTCACTTAAAACAACCTATTTATAAACCCATGGAAAAAAAGCAGGGTTTTCAATAGCAGGAACTACTGACCCTGAAACTACAGGGAGATGAGTTGGGTGCCTTGATGACACAGACGGCTGGCCATGGCAGTGTCATAGATGAGAGCTGCAAGGGCTTGGCGGGTCGTGGGGTCCTAGAATGCTTTCAGAACAAATCAATAACCAGTACGATAAAGCAGTTGTGTGAAATTACTACTTTATTCAAACTCATGGTGTCCTAACCTGTTGAGCTATGACTTGAGCTTTTGATACGGGAAGTGTGAGAAGAGCTCATGCAAGTTTAATTTTATCAAATGGGATATTCTTTCTTGTTCCTGCTTTCCACCTCACTTATTGGCTGCTCTTTTTTTAATTAAAGCATTCATGATTTTATTTGGTTAAACACTTTAATTTTGCTACATTTTGCAAACCCAGTCTACCTGGAAATATAATGGTTGTAGTCTTATGCATAGACATCCTCTGCTACATCCACCAGAGACTACAAATGTGGACAATTTTTTTTTTTTTTGAGACCAGGTCTTGCCCTGTTGCCCGGGCTGGAGTGCAATGGCATGATCTCAGCTCACTGCAACCTCCATCTCATGGATTTAAGCAATTCTCCTCCCTCAGCTTCCCAAGTAGCTGTGACTACAGGTATGCACTATCACGCCTGGCTAATTTTTGCATTTTTAGTAGAGATAGGATTTCACCATGTTAGCCACGCTGGTCTCGAACTCCTGACCTCAGGCAATCTGCCCGCCTCAGCCTCCCAAAGTGTTGGGATTACAGGCATGAGCCACCTCGCCCAGCCATGGACAGATTTTCTAAAATGAATTCTGCCTAAGAAGTGGGGGCAGTAAACTGGACGAGGTGGCTCATGCCTATAATACCAGCACGTTGGGAGGCCAAGGTGGGCAGATTGCCTGAGGTCAGGTATTTGAGATCAGCATGGCAAACATGGTGAAATCCCGTCTCTACTAAAAAAAAAATACAAAAAAATTAGCTGGGCATGGTGGTGCATGCCTGTAATTCCAGCTACTCCAGAGGCTAAGGCAGGAGACTCCCTTGAACCCAGGAGGCGGAGGTGACAGACAGACTTTGTCTCAAAAAAAAGAAAAAGTGGGGGGAGTATAGCCAGAGATTAAGATCTCAAACTGTATGGTCAGGAAAACCTTAGTTAGAATCTGAGTTTCACCTTAGGAGCTGTGAGACTTTGGAAGAATCATGTAACTGTCCAAACCTCTGTTTCCACTAATGCAGATAATAATCACACAGGCTCTCTCATGGGGTTGTTATAAGGGTTAAATGAGATAACGCACATAAAGCACTTAATACAATGCCAAGCCTGGAGAAACAACATTCAGTAATCATTATCTGAAAGCCATCTGAATATACATTCGTGTTTATTTACATTAGAAATAATCAATGAAATGGTATAAAAAATTACTCTAAAATAAATTTTATTGCCTTTCTCTTTTTGTAATCTGCCTTAATGCTGAAAACTTAGAAAAATTGGTAAAAAAAATAATATATATATATAATTGATCCTTAATCCCATCACCCAGAATGATAAATAACCATTATCATTTTGATGTATATTATTGATTGTATCAATATTTTTAAGAAAAATGCGATTCTACTTTCTTTGTTCAACAAATATAGTACTTAGTGTGTTTGTATTATAGTACTTCCTCTATCCTATTGTGTTCTAGGCACTGTACATTTTTTAGTCCACCTTTCCTTCATAATATGTTGTGCAAATGTTTTTATGAAGTTAAATAGTGTGGAAGGAGCTTATAAAGGCCTCCAGCTTCCTCAGGGTTATCTCAGATTTCCATTAAGTCCTTTAAAATTTTTCCTGGATGAATGAACATACAGGAATTAAACATGAATTCATAAGCTAAAATTGAACGGAAAAGGTGAGAAGGACTGCAAAGATAAAGAACACTGGTGAAATATTAGCAAGAAACTGACCAAGAGTCAGGGTACTGAGCTCTAGTAGTCTCAGGTCTGCCATTTAAGGAGCTGTAACTTCTAATTAAAGCCCTCACCTGTCCCCCTAATGGGGGATGGAGTAGAGGTTTCCCAAAATTTCCCGAAGCTCCGAAGTACCACGACCCAAGCATCCAACTGCTACCAAGAAATGGCCCTAATGGTGAAGAGATAGCCCTAATGATGTCACAGCACCTGATATGGGTTGTTTGTGTGAAATGACCAGGGGGTAAGTGAGCCCCTAAACATGGCCTGGAGAGAGTGACATGCTTTAGACAAGGATTTCTTCATTTTAGTAGACTAAGAGGGTCTTTAAAGCAAATGCCAAGCTAAACAGAACAAAAATTATGATCAGAAAAATGCTCCAATGTCAGGAGAGAGGGGGATAAAACTGCATTCAGAGGCTAGAGCTAATACTTCTCTCAAAGGCCAAATATGATATATAGTCCCTTTGGGAAGGTATAGCTCAAATAAAATTGTTAAGTGCAAAAGTCAACAAAATATCTACTGTTTTTCCTTTAAAGCTTCACTAATTTGTCCATAACTAAATATAACAAGACCAGGATCTGGTGGAAAAGAAGCCACATAAAATACTTGCACACAGACTGTTTTTCATCCAGGGCTCCCTTTTGATTTTAGAACTTGGGCTCGCTCTCTGTCCTTTTCCTTCTTCCAGAAGCTGCTTCCGGAGCTTCTGTTCTGGATTAGCTCCTGTCCTCTCTTGGGTCGGTAGATGTAAGGACACTTCTGAAATGGCATCTGCCCCACTACACTGCTCTCAGGGACGATGGAAGCTCTCTGCCTCGTGACCTTTACCACTTGGTTCTGGGGCATGCTTTTGGCAGCTCCGGTCAGGGTCCCGTGGGACTGTGAACCCAGGTCCCCAAGGTGCCTGCTTCTGCATAGATTGGTTGGAGGAGATGGTGGGGATTCTGTGAGAAAGCAAATGAAATGATCAGCATCCAGTGAAATCCCTTTGTTGTGAAAGAACAGAAAGGTGATGTTAACAGCCGGAGACAATCGGTGTGTTTCCCCACCCCCAGCACTCCGCCAGGGCAGAGGGAAAGCCTTTTCGTAAGCAGGACTTTGCCTGACCGGGTTTAAGTGTGTATGGCTATTTCTGTTGAGAAACTCATGCTTTGGGGGACCCAGAATCTCTTTGGTTGTTTTTTTCAAAAAGCCACAGTGGGGTGCTGTAGCGACAGGATCTCACCATTAACTTTTAATTTCTTTGCTTTTGTTGGTCACTTAACATTATTTAAAAGTATGTTTTGGCTGGTGAATAATGCTTTTGGATTGCATTCAGAATGCATAAACAGCTGTTGTAAAACTCACTCTCTTGGAAAGAAAACCTATCCAGAGGGGCCAGGTGGTGCAGCGGATTAACTCATGTGCCTTTAACCTTGGTGAGACCTGGGTTCGAGTCCTGCTAGGTCACCCCTAAAAGAGCAAGTGTCAGTTTTGTTTTGCTTTTGGATCCAGTCGCTTACGTGTTTGTTCAGATCACACAGCTCCCCAAATCATTTGGCCCACATCTACACCATTGGCAGTTTCTACTTAAGGGAGGGCCAGTCCTGAAATAGCAGAGTGTCGCAGGTCAGCACTAAAGTACATTGGCAGAGATGAATGGGGAAGTTACAAGCTTATGAACACCTGCAGCTCAATGCCTGGCTCCAGCCAATGCAATGATTTCTTCACTTTTTTAAGCACTAAATTTGGTAGTGACAGGAAGAAAAAAGTTTCTCCCAATTTTTACACGTATCGTGTACATGCAAGACTGGAACTGGATTTAAAAGTCTGCATTCTTTCATTGCAGACGTCAGAATCCGGAGCATGATATTATAGCCACGTTTGGAAAAATTGGTTTCCTCTTCCTCAGAATACTTGGTGAGGGTCAGACCTTGGTTTTTCTCCTACTTTGCTTTTTTTGTCTGTAATTTCGCTCAATCCATTTATTCTGGGGCCTCAATTTCTCTGTCTTTGAAACGGGAATACCCTGGAGACATTATTTTCTACGTTCTTAATTACCTAAGAGCAGCATTTTGAAAATTGAAATTATGTTTGCAAAACATAGCTAATTCTCTGGGTGACAATAATTGGGTACATGCAAACTATCATTACTGTGAGAGGAATTACTTGACAGGTTACTTCTTTGACCCCCAATTAGTAATTATGTAAGTTTGAATTGTGCTGGGTTTATAATATTTTCTCCGAAGATATCAGCTGAGATCAGATGACCAGAATATTGGGATGCTACCCAAAACAGCATCCATTGGCTGACTGCATCCTCAGTGGTGAACATGGCCCCAATAATGGACTCTTAACCTGTGTGGACCCACTTTGTGTTTAGGGATTGGCCTCATTACCTGGAGCCCAGTAATGAAATGCTCTGCAGTACAAAGGCCAGCCCTTCGCACGGTGAGGATATGATTGATGAATAGTTTGGATCTACAGCAAGACATTTTCCATAAATGCACGGTGGCTAGCTCATTCTTCTTGCTTCTCCGTCAGGTTCATCAGCACCAGGATCGGGGAGAGACCTTTCAGTGCCAGCTGTGCCCTTTTACTTCCTCACGCCACTTCAGCCTGAAACTCCACATGCGTTGCCATCAGCACTTCCTGAGGACAGAAGCCAAGGTGAAGGAGGAGATCCCAGACCCAGATGTCAAGGGATCTCCCCACCTCAGTGACAGTGCCTGCCTGGGGCAGCAAAGGGAAGGAGGAGGGACAGAGCTAGTGGGGACCATGATGACGTCTAACACTCCAGAGAGGACTAGCCAGGGAGGGGCTGGCGTCTCGCCTTTGCTGGTGAAGGAGGAACCCAAGGAAGATAACGGCCTGCCCACCTCCTTTACTTTGAATGCTGCCGACAGGCCCGCCAACCACACAAAGCTGAAAGACCCCTCCGAGTATGTGGCCAACAGTGCGTCAGCATTGTTCAGCCAGGACATCTCTGTTAAGATGGCGTCTGATTTTCTCATGAAGCTGTCAGGTACTTGAATAGGGTTGTATTCTCCCTCTCTCCCTCTTTCTTTCTCTCTCTATCAGTATTCTCATCTGCAAAATAAGCTGGTAGAGCTAGATGATTTCAAGTTCCCTTTAAATTTGGATAGTCTGCACATTCGTACATTTTCTCCTTGACTTTGTGTATGTGTGATCCTTTGGAAGTCGTATTGCTTTGGCTTGGGTCTCAAAACAGTAGGGATTGTTGATTTCCTTCTGTTTTTTTTCCCCTTGGTGAGTTCTTATTGTAGGGGGGAAAGGTCGCATGGTAAACCAGGTTTGTGTCAGTTGCTTGTGTGACCTTGGGCCCTGTTTAACATGTCTCTTCTGCACTGGACTCGCATGGAATACCTCATTTTGGCATTATTCAAGTTCTTTACTGTCTTAATTTATAAGATTTTTAAAGGACAGACATACAAAGGCTACGATTAAGAATTACAAACTTCTAAAATTTGAGCAGATGATGACTATCTTTAATAAGCTTTTCAGGTTTTTTTAATGGGAAATTTTTTTATTGTGGCAAAATATATTTAACATAAAATTTACCATTTTAACTATTTTAGGTGTACAATTCAGTGGCATTAAGTACATTCACATTGTTGTGCAAACCATTACCACCATCCATCTCAAGAACCTTTCCATTCTCTCCAACTGAAACTCATTAAACAGCTGTCAATTCACCTCTCCCCCCAGGCCCTGGGGACCACTGCTTTATGTCTCTGAATTTGACTACTCCAGGGACCTCATGTAAAGTGGAATTTAAAAACACATTAAAAAAAAATTTCTTTAAAAAAAAAAAAAACTGCCCTGATCCATTTGGGAAAAAAAGATGGAGTATAAATTATAAAGATGTGTTCTTATTAGTTGACATTACTTTCCATCACCATCAAATTGTACGTGATGTTTCTCGGTTTTTTGTCCTTTTTTTCCCCACATATTTGATTTAGGTTGTGGTGTTGAACAGGAGCATCAAGGTGTTAGGGCACTCTGTTTTTTCTATCATTCTCTTTTGGAATAAGGTGTGTTGCAGGATTGTGCGGCTACTCATTACGTTTTTAAAAGTATGATTTTAAATTTTAAAAGAGATGTAGGGGGTGGGGAAAGGTCGGTGGAGAATTGGTTCTGTCTTTCAGTGAAGATGGCAGTCCCCATGATGATTTCCAAATGCCATTTCAGCTCTTTGGAGATTGACAATACCCTTTTAAATGGAGAATAATTGGTCACCGCCTTCCTTTAAATGGACTGTGAGTCGCATTTCACTAAATGTCATTGCCAGGTGAATTAGAGGTTCAGCTCCACTCTGAAGTCCCTTTGCTCAGCGACACTTCAGTCGGGTCTTTTGGAATGTCGCCCTCATCCCAGATCTTTGCTCCTTAGGAGTGGGAGACACTAGTTGGAAGAAATGAGGAAAGGTAGGATGGAAAGTCAGGTGTCCCAGAAATGAACCAAGTAGGCAAAGAGCAGGGAATGTGACAGTGAAGCACACTGACCTGCAGTGAGAGTGTGGGGATCCTATGCTGAAATTGGCCAAGTCACGGATTAAAATGCTTCTGACTGTGGTCCTGAAGAACGCCGGCTTCTCTGCTCCTCATCACCCCTCTCCCCCGACTTCTCCCTCTTCTATTCCAATGTAGGGGAAAGTGTGATTTTTTAGCGACTTTGAGTTTCATATTTAAAAATTTTTGAAGCTGTGAGGAAAATGCATGTTTTCATGCATTCCATGTTCGCTGTCCTGATCGTTCAGGATTTCACCTCCGGGGGAACTCTAGTTTTTCCCTAATTGTCTTGCCTGTCAACATGATAGCAAAAGGGACTTCTTTTATGGGTCCTTATAGTGCAATCCCCAGAGAAGGAATGCAAATGACATATTCACATAGCATAGCTTAGAAAGGGGACATTTCTTTACCTAATAGACAGGGGCAATCTGAGCGGAGGTGAATGACCCTGAGTAAGGTGTTACTCCCTTCACTCCATGCTCCAGGGATATTTTAAAATCTGGAGGAAGGTGAGCGGGAGCAGGGAAGGTTTGGACTTTGGATAAAGCACTGTGTATCATGTGTGGTTCCTGCTGGGCTCAGCTCTGAGTGCCCACATTAGGCTCTAATTAGCTCCAGACCCAATCTCAGGGAGCATAAGATAAGGCTGCTTAGCGCCGGCACTGCAAACAGCAGAAACACGAGGGGAGAAGCCAGTTGATAGGTTGGGGTGAAGAACTGCACATCAAAGCCTTACATTGTGGTCTGTGTTTTCAGTTAGCTATTGATGGGGAGTTGTTTATGGTTTGGCAGTCAGAATATTTACTGACTGATCAATTGGTGTAAGAAAACAGATAACAAATGCACACACTATTTATGCAAAAGGCCCATGCAGCTATTTTATGGTGGCTTACTAGAGGTCCTGAAACCTGACTTGTATGCACTGTTACCTAGCAACCTGTTATAAAGTCACCGGGGAGAGAGTTGCATCCTTAATTTTTGTGTGTGTGCATATTTGGATGTAAATGTAAACTTGGTGACTGTGGCGGTGCAGCTCAGGAGAGAAGATGTGTTAAAAGGAAAGGAATACATTTTCTGGAGCAATTTTTTTTTTTAATTTTTCTTACTCTCTGGTTGGTCTCGCCATACATTCGATAGCTGCTTTCGCTGTGGTGCCCTACCTGGCTGTGTCTGTGGTTATGATTTAGGGACAGAAAGGCTAAATCCCAGGGAGCTGCGGCTGAGTTTCTAGCTCTTCCCATAATCAAATGTAGTGAACTAGTGGCTAGTCTCGGGCCTTGTCCCTCGGCATTATAACGGCGCCATTGTTCTTGCACTGAATTTTTTCCCTGGGCTCTGTCCGTGCACCTGCTGGTACTGTAGGGTGCAGCTGTTTGTGGGCACTGAGTCTGTGAATCTTTGTGCCAGCCAGATCACTGTCTGCAAAACTGGAGCACAGTGACAAATTCAAGCGTGTAGACACCTACTTGTTTCCAAAAGAGAGAAAACACTTGATGCTTTCTTGCCTGGTTATTAAGAGGAGTCTTTCTTGCTCCTTCGACTAAAACGAAGCATAAAGATGACTGAATGGAACCCAATGGGATTAAAAGTCAGTGGATAGAATGCTGTTTTAAATGGACTCTCAAAGCCTCCCACCCCCACTCCTGTTAGAGGTTTCTTAATGTGCATGATTGTGAAATAAAACCCCGTCTCCTAACCATCAGCTATTCTTCTGACTGACCCCACACTGAACATTGCTTGGTCCTTCAAGAATAATGCTGCTTCCAAAACTGAGGCTTCCAGGCCTGGCATCGCAGTGGATTCAGGGAAGAAGAGTATGGGTAGCTTTCTGGGCTGACAGAGAAATGAATTTTATAAATTTCGCCCATGGTTTAGACTGAGGCAGGCCTGAGAGGGCTCCAAGCCTGTATGTTCCAGTCGCTCTTTCCTGGAAGCTGGAAGGCATATGCAAATCATTGCATGTCAGGGCAGGTGAGCCAGTGGTCATGTGGCTAGGGGTGTTCAGGGAATAGGTACTCACCCGACTGTGGAGAGCTGAGTTCCTGCTGATTCTGTGCCTTGTCGCCCATAACCAGCAGCAGTTCTTAACCTCGGCTGCACATTAGCCTTGCCTGGGGAGTTTTTCACAAAATGCCAGGGTCCAGAAATTATGATTCACTGGGATAGGCCCTAGACATTGGTATTTTCTTTAATATCCTCAAACGATTTTAATGTGCAGAATGATTTTAATGTGCAGCCAGGGCTGAGGACCACTGATGTGGATATAAACTTGGTACCTGGTACTGTATTTTTTGGGACAGCTGTGGTTTTCATCGGTGCAGTTTTGTTCCTGTGGTCTCCACCCTAGACCACGAAACAGGGCATGGTGGTATGAGATGGGCGTGTGGCTTTCACCATAAGTTAAGATTGACATGAAGGAGAGGCCTGGGTGAGCCGTGCTCAGGGATCTCCAGGTAGTTCCTTGTGGGGCCTCCTGACAGGGGATTTTCTCCAGTCAAAAAGTCTCAAGACTCCGCGCAGAGCATCAAGGAACTGGGAGGGTCATCGTTATTAGAAGCCTGATTAAAAGTTGCCTGCAACAGTGGCCTTACATCATTTCTTTTTCTGAAAACTACACTTTTAAAGATACAAAATTTAATTCTAACTCTCCAGATTATAACCAAGCAGTTGACAGAAACTTGGCACTTCACTTGTTGGCTGGGAATATCTTTTTGTCCCTGGTTTTCCAAAATAAAAGATATGTCATTTCAACTATTTTTAATTTGGAAGACAGCAAAAATTGTTGTGCTGTCTCCCACATTATATTAATTTCGTAAAATTCAGACCAAAATAATTTTAACTAGGAGACATGGACTTCTTTAAAGCAGCAACTTACTTTTAGCCTCACAGAGACAGTTTGTGAACAAATGGCTAGAAGCTAACCATTTCTGACTTATTAGTAGCTCAGCCATTAAACAGCAAAGGTGTTCACGTATAAATGTAGGGTATAGGTTAATGTGTTTGTGTCATATACTGTAGTTTTCCATCAGCCTTTGTTCTACAACTTCCATCTATTTCACATGATTTTAAGCCTCTCGTAGGTACAATACAGGTTTTGTGTAAATGGCGGCTCCCAATCTTGCTTTACCTTCATTTGTGCTGCTGGAGAAGGAGGGATGGGAGATGCCCATTGAACCAAGTCATCTTCATTGCCCAGGGGCTCTGATTGCCTTTCTCTAAAGGCAATCATCTCAACAAATGAGCCTTCTTCCAAGTAAATGCCATCCTTGTGTTATTCACACCCTGCGACTGCAGTGCCAGCAGCCAGGGGGCTCTTCCACTGCCCACGCCTGGGCATGCCTGTCCCAGTCAGGTGGTTTCTGACAGCTTCCCTTTGCATTTCCAGTTTGGCCCTTCCTTTTAACCCTGCCTTGTTTTCCTCGTGATGGGCACTCACCGATCATGTGACTAAAATTCCTCATGTGAGGAGCTGCATTTAGGGGCCTTATATGTG